TATCTGTCTTTACATTCTGAGCAATGTTGAAATGTTTTAACCGTAGATATATTTTAAGAGCTGGTGTGTGTGTCGCGTTGAACATTACGGCAGATGTGTGTGGCGTCACTATGATGACAAGCTACGTACTATCTCTGGGTACTGTCTGCAATGGAAAACAGAGCAGGGCCGAGTAGAGTCGAGTCTATCGATTTGCGCTATGGTAGCATTTTTCGGCAAGGCAGCATAGATCGTCAGAACTAATGGTAAGATGTGGAACAATGACGTTGTGTGGTGGCTTTGATTTGGATCACACTATCTTGTTTCTTACGACCCGCCCTTCTCTGCTTCTGATTGGCTAGTAGTCCTTACCTGGGAAAATGTGCAACTAACCAACAATGATTTTGTACAAGTAAGATGCATCACTCTGTAGCTCAAGAGCGGAGCGTACAACACATAGGGTGAAAAGAGGAGCTGCAGCAATGTGCTGTATGAGAAAAATATGGTGTTTTTTGAAAATTAAACCATGTAAACCTGTTCTGGTACAACCCCTAAATAAGATTTTGAACCTGAAAATTAGCATAACACCACCTCTTTAATTAAAATAGTGAGTAATGTTACCACTTAAGAAGTTTTAGATTACTGGTAGCAGGTGTGTTTTTGTTACCAGTAAATGTCCCACAAGTGTGTCAACATGTTGTTTACCAGTTTTTTGTTTTCTTTTACCAGTTAACATCATTTTTGACTTTTTTTTCATTGTATTCTAGATAAGTTAAAAGGGATTTGCTTGCAACGAATGTCATGTCAAGTCAGCTTTACAACAAATGAGTGACAGTCATTTTCTTATTCAAACAAACAACAAATTAAATTAATGCTCTTTAAACCTGCGCCACTGGCAGGCCTGTTATTTGTCTTTGTGTTTGACTTTAAACTGAAACTTAATATGGCAGTTCGACCACTATCAACGAGACCCGAATCTGTACTACATATACCACGTACTAAACATCTTGGCCTTCTGGTTCAATCAAACTCAGACTGAGATGACACTGCCAATGAAATGTAACAAGCAGAAAGCAGAAGATATTGCTTAACATTAAATACTTATTATATTGTTTTCCAATTTATTTCTGGAGCTGTCTCAACCACCACCCACAATTTCTTCTATTTTTTTCCAGCTTTGAGCAGCTCATCCATTTCCTTTGTGCAGTGCAATGTGGGAGAATATTGTTCATCAACAGCAACAACACTCAAAAATCAACCGTATTTGTTCTGCACACTCTCTGGTTTATATTTCAATTTGTCATCAGTGTAAAATGTGCTCAAAACCTGCTTAAAATTCATTTTTGACACCTCGTGTCAAATTTGTCCTTATTTCTAAGTAAATTAGGGCTGGAACTACCAATTTTATATTTAATTCATCTTATGATTGTTTTTACTTTTTTGATTAAGCATTTCATCGTCAAGTCTATAAAAAGGGCTAAATTCAATTTGCTTGTTTTGTCCAACCAGAAAGAAAAAACCCAAATGTATTCAATTTACAATAATATAAAAGTGATAAAAGCAACAAATCCTCAGATCTGAGCAAGTGGAAACAATAAATGATGACAGTTTTCCCTGATACCTTCATACCTTTAAAGACTAATCAATTATAGAAATTGCTGTGGATTCATTTTCTGTTAATTGACCAGTCAGTTAAAAAAAATAGTTGACTCAGCAGTAAAATACACTTTAAACATAAAGTGGCAGTGGAGTTGCGAGACTTATGCTTTATATCACATATTCAGTCTCACACCTGTAGTTTAAACAGTTGTTCAAAACGTTTTGGAGACTGGAAGCAGAGGCTAGACATCAGAGTCATGTAAAATCCAAGGAATGTTAAAATAAAGGGCAACTGTTATTAACTGAAGATACTTGAAGACGTTTCGCCTCTCATCCAAGATGCTTCTTCTAGCAGGGAATCCATTTAACCTCTTTGTGGTCGTTATCAAGGTGATGGATGCCGCTTGGTTCGTTAGTGCTCCTGGCAGTTGTAAAGACAGTCCCCGTGGTCATTAGTCACGTGAAGTCTGAACGACCGTCGTTAGCATTGTCGAATGAGGCCAAACGTGAGAGTTTGTTCGCTCTCCTGGGAAGAGATGAAAGGACAGAAAGGACAGAATTGTAAAGTGGGGGGATAAGTTATGTCTTCGCCCTCCTCCTCTGTTTAGCGATGGTTTATTCTGGTGTAAATTGCATCTTTCACTCCTCCTTCGAACTGGTCCAAAAATATATACATGGTTGTCATTGAAAGAGTGTTGCTTGTCCGGTAAACTGTTGAGTCTTGACCTGAGGCCCTTCTGTGTTGAGCCACGCATTTGTGAAGTGTTTGTGTGCATTCGTCACTGCATTGAGATTAATCAAGTAACATGTATCCTTATGTCGTTTAACACATCTCAGCTCCTTGTAAGCTGTTGTGTTTCAGAATAAAATCTTGTGAGAAAAAAAATGAGCTTGCAAGATGTAGTTTGGCTTTGGGAGGTTATTTTTTTTGCCTCACAGCCAAGCATCTGAGAGAGATTGTCCTGTGGGGTTTTGAAAAATTCATTCTCACTATGGGTCAGGCAATTTCCTAAACTCCAACAAAGCTTTCACTCAGCTAAAGTTAAAAAAAAAGAATGAGATTTTCACATGGCAACAAGACAATACATCCTCTTATTATTATTTTGTTTTTTGTGTGTTGCAGTATACCAAAAGCTTCTAAACTGTAATGTGTTTTAATTTGAGTTTACTGAGCAACAATTTCCAAGCAATCCAGTGAGCCATGTTTAATGGACATCAAAAGCCATCTTTAGTGGGCTAATGCAACCCAACGACATCTTTAATGACATAATGCAAGCCAATGCCGTCTTTGATTAAATAATGCAAATGTAATGTTTCGTTCTGTAATAGAATAATGTAACATAAATTCGTTACTTAATGGGATTATGGTAGCTGCAGTAATCACTTGTCTGATGAGCTAATGCTGACTGAAGGAGGAGATCCCTGCGGTAATGGCCGGGGATGGCGGCTGTTCTGGGACCGTGAGGGATTAAACAAGGTTGTCTGTGTTTCCCCTCTCCTTTTGTCACTGTCTTTCTGTTTGTCTCCATCTGTCCTCTGTCACATTTTCAGTCTGCCTCGCTCGCTGTTTGTCTTTCTGTCTCTGGACAACCCCCCCCCCCTCCTCGTCCTCTCCCTCGGTCTGTCTCCTAATGGCTGCAGAGTTCAGGAAGCTTCTCAACTGCGACTTTTTTTAGAAGCAAAAAGTAGGAAATTTCCAACATATTCAAACTGTCACACACACACACACATTCAGTGCCCAGGCCTCCACTGAAGGTCATGTCACAGATTGAATGTTCCCTACTTTTAAAGATAAATCAATCCTCCATTAATGGAGATGGTGTGTGTGTGTGTGTGTGTGTGTGTGTAAGCCTAAAAGTTAAATCCTGCATTACTACATCTGTGAATGTCTGTGTGGGCTTAAGATACACTGCAGTATGTGGCTTAGCAGAAATGTGTGTGTTTGTTTTTTGTGTGCGTATCAGGGTATATGCGCGTGTTCACTCAGACACTCAGATTGCTGATCAATAGCTGTGATTGAAGGGCCCATTAGCCATCGGAAGCAAAAGAGACAGCATCACTCCACATGACAAGCTCTATGGGAACGAACAAACGAACACACACACACACACTATACAACAGGCAACAAATTAAAAGCTTGATTATTATGAATATACATTCACCATAAATACATTTTATGACCCTACTGGATATGACTCTTCCACCTACACACCAGGATTTTCTTACACACACGTTTTGTTTTGTTTTGTTTTTACAACCATCTCTAAGAGGCTGAAGTCATGATTTATATTCACACAACAGCAACATTGTATTGATCTGCTCTGACGTAAGCTGCAAACATTAGCATGTGTAACTTCCTACCTACAGTAAAGAAGTGAGCGTTAATCACAAAGCCAAGGCGCACATTGTTAGTTAACTACATTACTACATTGACAGTGTGGAAGCTGGACGCTATCGGAGTTTAGGGTAACGTTAGCAGCTCTGTTCAGATCTTTATTGTATTTGGGGTTAACACTCCAGCATACCCCATCTGTTACTGTGTTTAGGAACCTTTTGACAAAATTATCGTCAGCTGGAAACATCCTTTCACACTCAGGCGTCTTCCATTTATCAGCCACCCAAAGTCTCTCATTAGCTTCAAATACGGATGAATTGCATCTTCCCCCCCCCAAGAATAACCAGGACTGTTTGAAAATGAAGATTTATTCGATAATAGCTTGACAGGAGTAGCAACAGTTTCGAAAGGCAGTAGTGTCAGTTAGACGAATGAAGATAAACATGAAGACATGATGTGAAAGGTTTCTACCCGATTTCTGTGATAGGTCATAAGTTGTACTTGCTTTACTCTAAATAATGTCATAAACATACTAATTGTTGTCCTGTGAACAGGAATGAAACTTGCTTCAACCATACAGTGGACAAAACAGAAACCTTTTGGTTTCTAAACAGATGATTTGGTCATTAGCCAGTTGCAGAGCCAGGAAATCCAGATTAAGCGGTCTACTTATTAAATTGTGAGTTAGCTTAATGTCCTCGGTTTTATTAAAAACCATATCAGAAATGGGAGAAAACTGGATTAAAAAAGTAAAATAGGTCAAGCAACATCTCTGTAGTAACATCTCTGTGTTTGTTTTACCTTTTTCCTTGATCAGGGAGACTGTTTCAGCTAGTGTTTTCTTATCTTATACCTTTTTGCAGCATAAAACTAATAAAAACTTTTGGATATCTGAGGACATAAGCTCTGGGTTAAAACAAATTCAGGGAAGAGATTAAGAACCATGCATCTCGTTGATGGTACAATGATTCTCAAGATCACCACAAAAAGACTCAATACAAGATGTGAGATTTCCTATTGACACCCTCTTTTCTTTCCCTTTCCCCTTTTCTTCCTTTGATCCATCTCTTTTTCTTCCTCTATGTAGGAGGAAGGGGACTCCAGTCTCTACTGTGAGCTGTGCGATAAGCAGTACGTGAGACACCAACAGTACGACAATCACATCAACTCCTACGACCACCACCACAAGCAGGTGAGTCACACCACCTTAACAAGGCACCCACAGGTCTGGTACATCCTGCCACACAACACCTTAAACACTCCTGGGGCCTGTACCACGAAGCGAGTTCAAACCCAGGCAAAAGGTGGGGCAGAACATGACTACAGTCTCTGTAGTAGGCCTAAGAAAGCCATACTAACCTAAAATAAATACCCTACGTTAATATTAAAATTTAGATTTATTTTTCTTTACCAAACTGCTCATAATATTCATCCTCGCATAAGAAAAATAAAACCCATTTATATTAAACACATTTCAAAGCAGTAAGTAGGCTTATCCTGCTGTACTGTAAAAACCTGTAGGCAACAATAGCCTAAGGCTTTTAACCAGTCTCTGCAGGATTATATCGCTATAGTCAAGAGTTTTTCCACATCATCGCTGCAAACATAAAGCAGTCTATTGGCTAAAACAGTCTGTGGGATTTCCTACAGATGGTGATGTCATTTTCCAAGAGAGCTGATTGGTCAGTAGGCGGCGTTTTCACAGAGTTGATCTCTTATCAGGCACATAACCTGCTCCGGAGCAGGTCAGCCGTTCAGCATAAGTTACCATGGAGATCTACCCCGGTAAGAAGTGAACCACCTTCATGGTACTGAAAAACCCAGGAACCCCGAACTTACCTGGATAAGCTCAAATCCTGCTTCGTGGTACAGGCCTCTGATCAAGGTCACAGATTTATTACCTCCCAGGCCCACAACAAGCACTCTGCTCAGGTTTTTGTTACACAAACTGCGGTCACAAGGAAAATCACACAAACATAAAACCACATCATCTCTTATGACCACTACAACAGCAAACATTTACAGATTGAATTTAATTTTTTATGTTTACTTAGGGGTGGGCGTATTGACAATATACAGTATATCATGAGGAGTGCTGGGCCCTGAGAAGGCTAACATTAAGCTAGCTGTTGATGGACAGTAAATACTGATCATGTGATGAGCAGATGTAGATGCTTTTATGTTGTTTAATATCTCTTTTGAAGGCACGATGCTGAGCAACAAAAGTGTTTACAAAACCTTTTCAAAAAGTGATATGTGAGTAACTGACTATATTTTTCAATTGCTTGAAGGGGAGCGTAGAGGGAGGCAAAGATACGGGAGCATATCTATGTTTCCTATTTATCCTCTTAATATGACACATTAAAGCAGGAGTTGATAACAATTAAACATACAATACAAAACCTTCCGTGTCTCTCTCTGCTGCTCGTATCACTCCGCTTAGCCCCGCCCACCAAACCCACGAGAAAGAACCGGCTGCCCTTCAAAACATCATCGCACATAGAAGAACCTGATTATTTTTGTACTACTGTCAAGATATAGTACAGTCTCAGCAAACATCCCAAAAAGGTTATTTTTGGAAGAATTCCCTACTGCTGCTTTAAGGAGACCTTTCAGTGGTTTTGCAGTTTAAACTGTGCAGATAGCCCATAGCAATCTAACAATGTTAGTTTATATCAAGAGGCACACATGCTGGGAACCCTGGGGAGATAGGAATGAGCCCCAAAGATCTGCGTGAGGTAAAAGAGACAGGTGCATGAATCTAAAAAAAAAAAAAACAGGGCTCAAATTGAAGCCTACAGCTAACTCAGTGAATCCATAGCATTATTGCACTTTCTGTTTACATCCCCTAAAAAAGTAGGGTATGATTATCCACCAAACTGAAGTAAGACTAAGAATAAAAATAATAGGAGTGACAAAAATATAAAATTGTTGTGGGCAATGGTTGCAAATTGAGCAACAAAAGATTGGATTTTTTCAAGAAGATAAAAAAAATTTTTTTTTCCACTTTGATGAAGACTTTGAATGAACGATTTGTGATCTACTTAATTTTGTCACGTTCAGCCGACCAGCTGAGGAAAGAGGGATTTTGGGCCCAGGTTCAGACACACAACACAGAAGAATACTTGATTGAGATTTATTAACCAACCGGCTGAAACTTACAGGTGCAGGTGAAGGCAGTTTGTCAGAAACAATGTATTTCACAGTCAAGGGAAAAATAACAAAATCCAAAGGAGACATAATCCAATAGATGAAACACTAGAGAGCACTGGTAGACAGCCACAAAACATGAACTAGAAAACCAGCCTTAACTGTGAAGCACACCATACTGAACAATGAACATGCAAAGACTGACAACTACTTAAATACAGAGGTGAGGGAGAAACTAATTACACACAGGTGAAACCACTAAGACAATCAGACAAGCACAGGAAGTAAAATATGACAAGACTAAAACTACAAACTAAAACAGGAAGTAAAGCTCGCTGAAAAACACAAGGAATGATACCACAAAATGAAACCATAACAGGAGTGCCTTACCAACAAAACAATGTTCAAAGGCAAAGAACGCAGACAGTAAGACAAGACCAGAACATTAGGGCAGACCAAAACTACAGTGAAACACAGGAAACAAATACAAAACACACCCAATTTACCCAATCCCGTAACAAATTTCACATTCATGTTTGGTATTATGGGGAGAGCAAGGTATGTTGTCACACTTTTCACACTGTCTAATATTTACTAGGCACTGTACATCACAATGGTACAAATGTCATACCAAATAAAAGAAGGAACACTTGGGCGCATATTTTGTCTTCATTACATATTCATATCTTATGTCATAATGGAGCTGCAGACTGTTGAATAGAGAGTGTGCACTTGTGACAATTTGCCCCATAGGCAGGTAAATTGTCACACTGCATAGGGTAAGTTGTCACACTGGATTATCAAACAATTAGAACACTTAATTGTGAATATTGATTTAATTTCAAATTCAAACCAGAACTAAAAATAAAAACAGTCAATCGTAGAGAATGTGGAAAATAAATGTGTGAATAGAGTGTAAATAGATATATGGTAATTCAGTGGACTGCTGCAGATAACTTGCTTAAATGTATAACTTCTTAACATAACAGATGTGGTGTTTAAACAAACTAATGAAACTAATGTGTATTTTTGTACGACGTACATCTGTATCTGACTAATCAGACGTGTATTCAGAGTCACAGTTTTGGCACATATAAATTGCCTGGCCTGAGGTGCAAGCATCGTGGGCATTTCACACACTTAAACCACATCTCCTTTGGAATACTGTTTGAAAATGGCTCCACACAGATGAAGCCAAAAGAGATGTAAGCTGACCTAATAATATAATCACAATACAGAGTCTGGTAATTTATGTTAAAATTCTTCCCAAACTTCTACTACTGATTGATTTGTTTTTCAACTTCACCTGCCTGACTGCTTTTTGTCAGGTGGCGTACTACCATTCTCTGTCTAATAATCTTCCTTCCTTCCTTCCTTCAAATACACATTTCCTTTCCTCCTTGCAACAAATAAATTAATGTTTTTTTGTCTACTATCCCTGTTGCCTAACTAAATTAATGACTGTGTGAAGTAGTTTGTTTGTATCTAACATACTACATGCCTACAGTATGAGACTGTATACAGTGTCATGAATACAGTCTTGTGTAGTCCAGGCATATGGCTGTATAGTATTCTATTTACAGTATCATTTAATAAGTTGTGAAGTGACAACTTGCCCCAAACTGACATGTGTGCTAATGTTGGTTAAATCTCAAAGTTAGCTCAACATAGCGCTTCAGCTGAAGTATCAAAAGACCCGTTATCGTCTGATCTACTTGCAAAGTTATCATTTTACCCAACAAAATGGTATTGCATAAAATGTAAAGTGCAAAAGTTTTACTTTTGAAGCAAAAAATAAGAAAATTGTGCTCACCTCAGGATAGAGTGACCTTGACCACATGTGAACAGGAAGTTGAACATAGAACAAGAAGCCACACAAAGTGGCTATTTGATTTTTGAGACAGAGCCTCTAGTGTTGGAGTTATGAGCAGTGTGACAACTTACCCTGCTCTCCCCGATCCATTAATTAAGGTCAACAGTTTTTCACCAACCTCTAAATTTACGTAGCAAAGAAACAATGTATATTTCAGAATGTTTGTTCAATAGTTTTATAAAAAAGGTTCAAAAACAAAGCTGGCTGCTGTAATTCATTTGATTTTATATATTTTAATTCATCTGATTCTTTGTCATCGATGTGCTTATTGTGGCGCTAGGCACAAGAAAAATATTTGCACCAGGGCCAATCACAATTATGTTACGCTGCTGCTCTTATAATCTCTTCAGAAAAAAGTTTTTACACTGCTATCAATACAAAAATATTACGAAGTTATAATAATACATTTTATTTATAAATGCCTTTCAAGTCACCCAAGGACAAATCCAGATGAGACAGTCAATACATAATAAAACGTAACAGTGGAAAGAAAATGATAACAATAATGATATTTACAAACAACTACAACAACAGCAATGAAATTTTCCATTGTGGCTTAAAGAGGTGGTATTATGCTTTTTAGCTTTTTCTATCTGCTATATTGAGTTATATACCTTTTTGTGCATGTAATAGGTTTGCAAAGTGAAAAAGCCCAAAGTCCACCCCAAAGCGAGTTCCCATCTCCCATAGAAAACACTGTTCTGAACTGCCTGAAAACAGCTCGTTTGTAGTCCAGCCTTTTCTTCCACTTGCTGGTGAGGTCATTAAAAAAACGCATCATAATGCTCACCTAGCGGCTAGTCAGACACGCCCTCAAAAACACCGGTGGAAAAACACTGCTGCAGCACACAGTGACAAGACGTCCGCCTGCCACCTTCCAAACACTAGCTACCCTCCAGGCAGTCAGTGGACATAAAGTTGTTACCATGATGTAGAGACAGAGCTCAGTTAAAACTTTACAGATGAAAGATGCTTTTGTTACAAATTAATAACTCACCACTCTGAAACTCTTGCTCCAGTCCATGTTGCCAAACCAGTAGGCGTAACATATACAGTTGAACTGAAGCCGTGTTTACTGGCTTTTTAGGGCCCACCCTTTTCTGCTTCTGATTGGCTAGTAGTCCTTAAGTAGGTACTGCGCATGTGCAACTCCCAAGTAAGATGCATCC